AAAAAAAAAAAAAAAAAAAAAAAAAAAAAGCTTCAAATGTAAGTCTCTCTGCCGATGACTGTCATCTATCGGGTTTTCAAATCAGAGGACGTAGATATTTTGCCGTGAGATACAGAAAAATTACACTCCTTGGCAGAATCAAACGGCATGGAAATAACGGAGTCGATGGTAAGGTGAAACTGCATCTAACTGAACAAGAATGTCATACCTACAGTCACAAAATAATTTATTTATATATATTTATCGTGAATATATTTAGGAATGCAATTAGTAAATTGAGCTGGGAAAATCAAGAAAATTACGTTTCGTTATGCGGATCCTATCTTTAAAATCCGCATAACGAAACGTAAGGTCACTGTACTCTTGTACAGTGAGAAGTAAAGAATTAGCTTATATGTCACTAGTGCGACCCGTGTTAGAATATGGTGCTGAATGTTGGGACCGTACAGAATATCGCAACAAGGTAATCTAGAAAAGCTCCAGCGCAGAGCATCAAAATTCTCTTTCACAAGTACAAAAAATTGAGGTGTATGGGAGTCACTCGGAGAAAAGCGAATTAAGTTGCACAGGTTATCCCGCTTGGAATGAAATTAACCGTCGCCTAGGAAAACCTACATACTTCAGTTGAGCGGATCACGTGCACAAAATTCAGACAAGAATAAAGAAAACAGACATCGGGAAATTTTAATTCACAAACCGAACTATTAGAGACTGGAACAGTTTGCATTAGACAATCTTTGAACCCTTTCCTTAAAGCTTGAGAAAATTTAAAAATAAATTAGTTTTCTAGTTATTTATGTATATTTTAGGTAAATTTATTACTATTAAGTTTCTACTGTTAAATTAATATTTCCTAATAATTACGTTTGTTTAATAATTAGTTATTATTATTATTATTATTTAGGAGGAGGAGGAAGGAGGAAGAGGAGGAGGAGGAGGGGAGGAGGAGGGGAGGAGGAGGCAGGAGGAGAGGAGAGAGAGGGGAAGGAGGAGGAGAGGAGGAGGGGAGAGAGGAGGGAGGAGGGAGAAGGAGGAGGAGGGAGAGGAGGAGGAGAGAGGGAGGGAAAGGAGGAGGAGTGAGGGAGGAAGGAGGAAGGAGGAAGGAGGAGGAGAGGAGGAGGAGGCAGGGAGGAGGAGGAGGTAGGAGGAGGAGGTAGGAGAGGAGGAGGAGGAGGAGGAGGGGAGGAGGAGGAGGAGGATGGAAGAGATGGAGGAGGATGAGGAGGTGGGGAGGAGGAGGGAGGAGGAGGGGAGGAGGAGGAGGAGGGGGAAGGAGGAGAGGAGGGAGAAGGAGGAGGAGGAGGAGGAGGAGGAGGAGATGGGAAGGATAGAGGAGGAGGAGGGAGGAGGAGGAGGAGGAAGGAGGAGGAGGAGGAGGAGGAGAGAGGAGGAGAGGAGCGAGAGAGGAGGGAGGAAAGAGGAGTAGGAGGAGAGGAGGAGGAGGAGGAGGGAGTGAAGGAGGAGGAGCGAGAGGAGGAGGAGGAGGAGGAGGAGAGGAGACGAGGAGGAGGAGGAGGAGGAGGAGAGAAGGGAGGAGGAGGAGAGGGGTGCAGTGAGTGGAAGGCGAGGGAGAGAGGAGGGGAAGGGGGCGAGGGGAGGGGTAAAGGTGTGAGGGGAAGTGACTTGATGGGGAGTGTTGAGAAGAGCGAGAAAGGGCGAGGAAGGGCTGGTGGGGTGGGGAGGGAGGGGAAATGGTATAGATGGTAGGGAGGAGAGGATTGGGAGAGGGGAGGAAGGAGGGGCAAGGCAGGAGAAGGGTTGGTGGAGTGGTGGAATACAGCGCAGAGAGAGGGAATGGAGGGAGGGGTTTGAGTTGCAGGTGGGTATGGGGATGGAGGGTAGGAGGGCATGCGAGGAAGGAGATAAGCAAAAAATGGAGGGGGGGGGAGTATGGCCGAAGGAGGAGGGTAGGAGAAAGGGGAATGGGCGGAGGTGAGGCGTGAGGGATAGAGGGGGGGAAGGGGGAGGGTGTAGAGGGATGAGGCGAAGGGAGAAGGGAGAGGAGGGAGGAGGAGGAGGAAGATGAGGAGGAGGAAGGAGGGAGGGTAAGAGGAGAGGAGAAGGAGGGAGGAGGAGGAGGAGGAGGGAGGAGGAAGGAGGAGGAGGAGGAGAGGAGGAGGAGGAGGGGGGCGGAGGGAAGGAGGAGGAGGAGGAGGTTGTAGGAAGAAAGGGGAGACTGGAATAGAGAGAATAAGACATAGAGAAGAGAAATCGAGGGGAGGAAATAGGGTGGGAGGTCAGGAGGCACAGAGGAAAGAGGTGAGGAAAAGAAAATTACCAATTTATTTTTTTCCCTTTAAATGCCCCAACATAATACCATGATCGACCGACTTTTACTGACCAAGGCACCCGTCTGAAATTTCAAAGAAAACAATTATAAAGAGTAACTAATTCTTTGATTAATATATAAGTTGATCAACTACAGGAAAAAAAAAAATAAAATACTCCACAGGGTCCTAATGGAGAAGGGAGAATCACTTATCGTTTCTGCCACGGAAGACCTTGCGAGTCCGCGCTGTTCTTTTAGTCGGCAAGCCATTTGGCAAAAAGAAGTTACGTTGTATTCTACATAATACACTCTAACCAATTATGTCTGGAAACGCCGCGTTTCAACGCTTCTCGGTAAGTTAGAAGAAACAATATCGTGACTTTCCTTCACTAATCAACCAATGTATCCTAAAGCTCAACCACCGCGGTACCGAAAGCCCTTGATTTCTCCCATACGTCCTTCCTGTGCGGAAATAAGGTCGATTACCGCGTGTCGTTACTATCAACATTGTTCTTCAACCGACTTTAGAAGAAATGTGGTTTGGCAACATGATAGGCGGGAAAGCTTGACAACCATTGAACC